CATGAGAAAAGCTCTTCGAGAGCTCGGAGACGTCTCATTTTGTCCAGAAATCTTTGCTCTATTTGAATAAACTAATGATAAAAAGTTCAATTATATTTGTACACAAGAAAGTCAATAAATACAGTATGCACTTATATGCTATGCTTGGACAAATTTTTGTGGACTCATTTTTGTCGACGCTTTTTTTAGTATACTTTTCGTAGACGTTTTCTAGTGGGCGCTTTTTTGGACTCTTTTTTTCTTTACCGTGCCGTCCCTAGTTACGACTCTGAACAAATCCTCACTATTTACGCTCGTCGCTTTCAGTCGAGAGCGTGTGCTGTTTCTCAAGCTGTGGTAAATATTTTGTGGACGTTGGAGCACATGCATTGACAAGTACCCTGGTATGAACCCACAAATTATTTTGATAAACATTATCAATCGAGTAATTTGAAATCTCTCGTTTATTTCAATCCAGTCCAATATAACTAGCAGTCTGTCACGTGATGTTCCCGTCATGGTATCCAAAACTATCATCGCAGCACAGTTTGCATATTCTTTTTACACATACTTTTTACATGAATAATGGCAGTCGTGTCCAAGAACTGAGATATAGGATTCATAATTTGTCGGTTTTTCGAAAGTCTATCGATATCGGAATTCCTATTTCTCAGCTCTTGGATAGTCCTCAGAAGCACATCAGTCACGACGTTCATATGTCAACTTGAGATCTATCAACCACAATAAGTAATATTTTAGCGAAGCAGCCATAATTAACAACTAAAATTAAGTATTTATTTTTTAAATAATACACTCTAAGTTTCGATCTTTTCATCATTAGAGCCATTTTCAAGAGAAATGTACAATTACACTACTGTATCAATATATATAAGAAAATTTTGATTGAGAGTATAGAAAATTCATGAAAGAAATAGATACAGTACAAAAGTAAGAATATAGTAAACATATTTGTAGTTCTCTCTGTTCTTTTTGTTCAACTCGAGCACCAGATCATACCTTTTTATTTGAGAAAGTCCGTCTGAATAGACAGTCAAAGGAACAGATCTAAAAGTATTGTTTAGGCTAGGATTATTTGCAGTGATATAGAGAGATTCTTTGACTAACAGTCTAAATTCTATAGAATCACTATCTATCACGCGCCAACCATTCCAGTCGATAGAGTGGCCAGTTTCATAACAATGTTTTTGAACAGCAGAATTTTTTACAGAATCTAATTTTAGATCAGTATACTCTTTTGACGTATTCATTTGAGATATTTCTTTAATGGGAGCTGATACCTTAGTTCTGGCATTTCGCTCTGGTCTAACTCTCCCTTTTCTCGAAGTTTCGCTTTGTTGAGTACTATTGTTAGTCATGAAGAGAGATAAAGATAAGTGACCAGTAGTAGGCAAATGATTTCTGCTTCGCTAAAATATTACTTATTCCGATTATCTAATTAACCACGTTGTGTTCTTTTGACCTGGAACAATTAAAAACACGTTCTTTTTTTTCTGTAACAACGCGTTCTTACTGAATGCATCCGAACGTGCTCTTGAAGAACGGACTCTTCTAAATCAGGAATGCGTTCTTGCTAAACGCACGAACGCGTTCTAAAACTGTAAGAACGCGTCCTTTTTGATCTGTTCAAACGTGTTCTTTATGACAACACATTTGTCTTGAGAAGAAACTCGTTTAAACGCGTTCGGAGGCGTTCTTTTTTTCTCAGAGCACCTTTCTTAGTCTATAACACGCGTTCCTTTTTTCGGAAACGCGTTCTTGATCGTTCTTTTTTATAAACTTTTTTTCATGGATGGCAAGCCATCTATGTAAATTAGGAATAGCAACGGTCCGAGAACCGGGTCTTGTAGTAAATCTTTCGTAATTTTTAACGGTCTTGATGTATTTCTTCCAGAATTGTTTGGATCGTTCTACCAGATAAATAACACTTGATCCATTTTAATGCTTTTCTTGTGATGCCTTTTTCCCGTATTTTAGGAAAATATCAGAAGGCTTTCTCTGGATGATGTTTACAGATACTGTTGTGGTGGTAGAATATTTTGTTGTGTAGAAATAAACGTTCAAATAAATTTTTGCATAGGTAAGATATCGCCAGATGCAAACTACAATCTATAAAACATTATCCTCTCGACATCATTTATTTCATCAAATTAGACATTTCTGTACTACCGCATAAGTAACGCTCTAGTACAACTTCCAAATACAAGAAGCTACAAGAAAGCAAGAAAAAATCACGAAATTTGAGACAATTTTTGAGACAAGAAATGTTTCTTGCTTTCTTAACACGAGATCTTGGACCAGGAAACTCAAGAAAATACTTCTTGCACATCTTGCGTCAAGAAAGAACGAAGTACTTTTCTTGTTGTTCTTGAGTGAAATAATATGACTTAGGTTTCTTGACGCAAGAAATACTTCTGAGTATTGTTTTTCCGACATACTGTACACTAACGTACTCCAATAGTATTTTTGCTTGTCTTTTAGATGAATATTCAAAAGCTGGATCTAGTATGAGTTTTCAAAGCACAGTCATTCAACATTAACGCATTTCTGCATTCAAATAAACCAGTCATCAAGGCAGTTTTTTAAATCTTCTTTTGTGTGGTTGTCGATGGTATATTCTCATGCATTCAACATTGCATTATCATCTTCGAACTGAATGTGTTCGATTTTTGAGTCACGGACTTGGTTAAATCAGATTTCAGAAAAAGTAAGCTGAACTTTTGTTGCGATGGACTTTGATTAGTTATCGATCAGTTTGTGACACGTAAACTTAAAGTTTAAGTGTCACAAACTGATCGATAACTAAATCAGAATCACAATTTGTGATTTCTCTTATCTCATGATCATAATACTAGGATCATGAACCATCTCCTGTTACAATATCCAGCACACGACGAGATTGGTCTCCTTCAAATCTCTTCAATAAATTATGACAGAATTGAATACAGAACTGGTTTTGGTCGTCGATCAATTGATGAGGTACCAATCTCGCATAAACTGTGAAAAATTCTATTTGTTTGTATGTCAAATAAGGATCATCTTCAATTATTGCTCAGAGAGAACGAATGGTTTCTTTGTTGACAGCAGTTGCAAGACAAATTAAACCGGCATCATCTTCGATACTGAAATTACTCTGTTAAAATTCATGAAATCAATTGAGAACTGTACAATTTGAAGGTACCTGGTCTTTCCATGCCTGCAGCAAACGGACATGATTTTCCTTTAATGTTAAGCCAACTTTCCCGTCATATAAAATTATAGTTCGAATCTGTTCTCGCGACAACTCAACAGCCATATTAAAAATGCTGGACTAATCCGAAAGAAATGCAAAATATAACGATACACATGACGTGTAAGCTCTCAAATTTGCACATAATCCTATAAATATATTTAAGCATTATACTAGAATAGTTAATAAGTACCAAACCTCTATGATTTTTATTTTGTATGTATATAAAATAGCTAAAAGTAAATTAGTCATCCTCATGAAATATGAACAATGAAAAATAGAAAAAACAACAACAATAAAATAAAAACAAAATGTTAATACTGTTGTAAAAACAAAGACATTCATACCGGTGTGTGTGTGTGTGTGTGTGTGTGTGTGTGTGTGTGTGTGTATGTGTGTGTGTATGGATGACAATAGACAAAAAAATAATAAAGCTGCATGGCAAAAGCAAGAAAAACAAAAACATCGCTTACACAGCTGTTAGTACAAAAAAAATAATAATATGTTTAATCAAGAACTCTATGTGAGCAGTACAAAAGAGAGAGCGAGAGAAAAAGAGATTCACCGTTTAGAAGAAAAACTGAATTGTACGACGAGAAAAGTCAACTCTATTAAGTTGTCAGCTTTTTTATTTTATTTGTAAAAGTGATCAGTTTACCTATATATTAGCGAAAGTGAGAAAAAAAATACAACTCACGTTTTATAGACATCTTTATTTTCATTTTCCTTGAGCTTCTCCAATACTTTAATTGATTTTCTATTTTGGCGAGAACAAAAAATAGCTTGTTATTTGTCGAAGATTAGGGATGATGATGATTGCGACGACTAATACATAATTATTGTTTGCTCCAGTGTTCTTTTTTGTTTTAAATTAGATTCGACAAATGATGGATATATAGATATGCGTAAATAGAAGTTACCAACATAAGTTGTACAACACGAACCCCAAAGTTAGTATAATGGAAATTATTTGTGTTTTATCACAGAAGTGTCATTGCTTCTATCAATCTATATTATACCGAACATGTAGAATGAGAGAGAAAAAAAAGAGAAACAGAAAAAGAGAATAAAAGAAACATTCAGCATCATATATCATTCTCAACTTATTAACTGTGGGCAAATAATAATAAATATATAAATGAGAAGGAAAACTTTATTCTTAATAGAAATAGAGTCATACCACCTTACTACTAATACTTCAGTAATTCTTCATATAAGACTTTTATAATAATTTTTTGGCAGAAGAAATTTATAGCAAATACCGTCAATTCGATGAGCTAGAAAAATTGACGGATGAGCGAATAAACATCTGGCGATCATATTATATGAATTAAAACTCAAAATGAATTTCTTAATTTTAGATCATCCTAGTGTTCTCTAAATTTTTTTATTTTAACTCGTCACTTATTTTCAATCTACTATTTTTTTCTTAATTTTTTAGTATAAAAGATTTATCGTGATGTGAATAATAAATAAACGCAAGTTATATCAGGAAAAAACAAACTAAATTTATTCTCACCACCGAAAGACTAAAGGAATAGTGAGAAAAGCTGATGAAATAGAATAAATAAAAAATTCGAATAAAACCGGTGTAAATTGATGATAAATGCATTTGTGATTCAAAAATAAAGCAAAAGAATTGACTGTAGTTTTAGTGAAAAGAATGAACGGAAACAATAGAACTTTTGTTATTTATCATAACTCAACGAAAATACATAAATAAACATTTTGATTACAGACAAAGACATATACACATACATATGAATAATCAATATCATACAGCTGCAGTTTGCACTACCCCATACATATTCTCTAAATATTCTTTTCTTCTCATTTTTTCATTAATACCAATACAACGACAACATATTATTTCACGAAATGGTGTGCGAAATTCTGTATTAAATTTACTATAAATTAATGGATTTAACATTGATGATGAATAACCGAACCAAAGTAACATGGAATCAACCCAACCGGGTACATGTAATATATTGCCACTTAATTTAAGATAAAGTGGTTTTAATATAGCTAAAAGCATAAATGGTAGCCAACAGATAATGAACTAAAACAATGAAAAAACAAAATTAATAAATTTACAATTAAAATATTTATTTTCTCTATATACTTACTGTTCCTAAAATTACACCTAATGTTCGAATAGCTTTTTGGTTCGGTAAATGTACATGTTTAAAAAATGAATAACGTCTAGATACAAAGATTGATAATCGTGCAACATTAAATGGTGTACTTAAACGTCTACCTAGACAACGTGCTGGATTTAAAATGTGTCGACTTTTTGATGATGGATCACTACTATGTTCAAGAAGACTGTTAGTATTATTACGTAATCGTTTATTTGATAATGATTGTTCTTGCTGTTGAATAGTAGATGTTGATGAGGATCGATGATTTGCCTCTGTTTCCAGTTGTCTATTATAATATTCATCGTCATCTTCATCATCTAAATTTTCATTATTATCTGATGTCACAATGACTTGTGGTGATATTGATGAAGAAGCATTAAATCCATTTGATTGTACTGGTTGTTGAGCAGATAACAATGTTACTCGTCCATCGTTTCTCAGTGTTGATGTCATGTTATTATTACTATTTGTATTATTAATAGTAATGTTATTTGAATTATGTGGGGTTAAAAATTGTGACATTTGTACACTTGAACGATTATCAGAGGTTTGACGAGCGGTACGATAAATATTTGCATAAATAATTAAAACAACAATTAGAGGAATATAAAATGATAACATTGTAGCAAATATTTGATAGGATAAATCTTCGTTTACCTGACATCTTTGTTGTATTAAATCTTTTGCAGGTCGTCCCCAACCAAAAATTGGTGGCAACGAGACGAGAGCACTCAAAATCCATACAGCTGCAATCATCAAAGATAACAATTTTATTTTTCGTTTTGGTGCATATTTAAATGGATGATTAATAATAAAATATCTGTCAATAGATATAACGCAAAAGTTTAATATTGATGATGTACACAATAGAACGTCGGTTGATGTCCATATATCGCACATAATTGTGCCTAATATCCAGTAACCTTGATAAATATCATTGATAAGAGCTAATGGCATGACAATAATACCCACCCATAAGTCACTAACAGCTAAACTAACAATTAAAATATTTGAGGCTGTACGCAATTTTCGAACTAAACACACGGCAATAATAACAACCAGATTACCAAATATTGTAAATATAATCATAAATGAACAAACAAATGCTAGACCAATAATTTGAGCTGTGGGACGTAAATGGTCTTCTTTTTTCAATTCTCTTGTTGTTGTATTTATACGAAGATCTGTGATATTTTTATTAACGTCGTTTGTTGTTATCTGTTCTGAAGTTGTTGTTGTTGTGGTTGTTGTTGTTGTTGTTGTTATACGATGATGCCGACGATGTGGAGGTAATGTGGTACTACCATCCACCAGTGGATTAGTCGTTGTAATAACTTTAGACGATGGTGGAAAAAGCGTTTGTTTATTTGATGATAATGCAGTACGATTTGATTGTGCAACGGCTGTAGATAACAGAGATAACGTTGATAAAAACGAAAAAAGAAACGATATTCGTCTCGAATATAATGCAGTAAATGAGTAAGTTGAGCGCATAGAAGATAAACGACGGATAGACGATATTCTTCTCGTCGATAATCTAGAGTCTAAATTAAAAAATTATTGATATCATCTTTTCCACTTTTAACATTTTATAACATTAGTCTCAGTCTGTGATTCTAATTTAACTTTATGCTTTAGTGTAGAAATATATCAATCCATTTGTATTACGAGTATTTAACAACAAGAACAACATAAAATAGAAGATATATAATGTGTAAATATAAACTCGATTCTGTTAACGCCAGACGAATTTAGAAGAGTGTCTACAACTATTACTTTCATTTATGGTTGGCTGATGGGCAGACCTCGTTTTTGAGACATTTTAATGAAATATTGTAGTTATTGTTGATAGTAATGCTATATAAATCAAAAAAATAGAACTAAGTGAATCTAGATATATTACTTGACCTAATGGAGATAGTGAATGATTAAGGCTTTTTAACCAAGACGTAGTTTATGTAAAACATCCAGTTACTAGACAATAAACTGGAATTAATTTTCAGTCAAAATCGCCAATTAATATGACATTCAACAGAAATTATTTTAGTCAATAATGCCAATAATAGACAATAGTACGCATCATCATCATGATCATCTGTCATATGCTCACGACTACTCTTATAATCGATCGTTTTTTGTGCAGTGTTCGGCATCAAAGTCCTCGACCATAGTCGATAGATCTCCATATCTTTCAGAACCTGAATTTCTGAGTCGAAGTTGTACGGGCCGCTATTGAGGTTCCGCACAAACCATCCCCACATTATCATTACGATATGCCTTATAACCCCAAAATAGATTTCGCACTTTGACACCTGGATGCGTCGGACAATATGTACAAGATGTTTTAGTATTGATGAAGAAATGACTTTATACCAATTGAGCGAGTCTGATATGGGTAAGATGTCTTTTTTCTAGGAATGTTACCTGAGAATTTCCTACTCAAAGATCGTCACAAAAATGATAATGACGGCAGTGGTATTTGAATGACAAGGAAAATATAAATCGAGTGCTCAAATCTAAAATAACTAGTTAGATTTCAACGATAATTTAGATTAATAATTACAGACAATATATTTTTGGAAATCGGCTCACAAACATCTTTCATTTTCCCTCCAAAATTTTGTCGATGAGTCAGGAAAAAAACGAATGAGTCGACGAAACGGGAATACACTTAAAATATATAACTAACTATGTAAATAAATCCGACTAAAATAAATTAAAATTATAAAACTAAGAACCAATCTGTTCTTAATATAGCATGTCTGATCAATTGTCATACATAAACTGTCTCCATCAGGTCAAGTAATATATACAGATTCGCTCCGTTCTATTTTTTTTGATTTATATATTACTATCGACAATAACTACGATATTTTATTAAAATGTCTCAAAAACAAGGTCTGCCATCAGCCAACCATAAATGAAAGTAATAGTTGTAGACACTCTTCTGACATTAAAAGAATAGATCTTTTATTTTCTCTTCATATAATTATAAAGTTATTAATAATTTTTTAAATTACATTTTTACCTATAAGTCTCTTACAGAAATGAAAATAAGTATTGGATAATCTAGCTATAAAACGATAAATTTCAGATTAAGAACTAATCACATCGAATACCCAAATTAATATGACACCTAAATTGATGTCAATAAATTGACGTAAATACATTTATTATCTATTCTTTTTTTTTCATTTTAGTATAATACGATTGAATTTATTTAGATTTTATAATTAAAACTTGATTAGATTCAATAGATAAGTCGTATTGTGACACTGTAAAAACAAAATAATATACTTTCATATGTAGTGATGAATCGGAACAAATTTTCCTATTATTACCTACGTTTGAGATAATCCGAAATATGAAAGCACATGTAATATAATCCAAAATATGTGTATCTGATTCATTGCAAAACATATGCGATTTAGGAGAATACGTTGAATGTACACATGTACACATGTACACTTTATTTTAGCTTATTTTGGAGAAAATATTTTAGTGTGAAGTATTTTGTCTAATAAAAAATACAGCATTATTTTATTGCTCAATTATAACTCAATTATTGGCTCTAACATAAATTAATTATTTTTAAAAGATAGTATTGAAAACATGCTCTATAAACTATATTATTGTACAATTTTGTTTTTAGTCCTTCCAACGACTATCTCCTCGCATCATGTTAGTACGACATAACTATAGTTTACTGAGAGGTAAAAAAAAAGAAAGAAAAAAAACAAAACATTGTTATTGTCATTATTAATACGAAAAACGACAGAGACATGAGCGATATCTAATCGAAATATTATTGCAATATTTGAAACGTTTAGACGATGCGTATCCCGATGATCGGAGAAAACGCCTATCATACAGCAACTACCGTCTATATTCACCAAAAGATGTTTTTATCAAGCAAAGGTTACATACGTTCATACACGTGATAAACTTTTATGGTCCTTTACAATTACCATGATCACAGGTTTTTTTTCCAGAATAAATCTTTCGCCATGAAAGTTATAGAATTTAAAACATAGTTCATCCTGATCATTACCTGAATGATAAAATACTATATCATTTCAACTTTAAAAATAAATCGTTGTCATGATCATTTTCTCACTAGAATTATCATTTAAAAAAATAAATCTTCTACAATATTAAATAGAAACAAAATATAAAATCTATTATTTCATACGTTCAATTTTTTCCTAAATATTCATTGTAGTCACTAACGTGAGAAATAATCATTAAAAGCTAATTCAATTTCTAATACAAAAATAAAAATTATGATGTGGCGTTTTTTTTCTATCAAACTAAAGAGTGAATAACTATCCATGTTTTCTATTATATAACAAACGCGGTTTTTTTTGTCTCTATTACCTAACTGTAAGAGACGTCATTTTCATAACATGCTTCTTAAACTTATATGTATCACGCGAATAAAAAAATGAAAAGAAAGTAATATACTTTTATTATTCATTAATGCCTCCGCCTCAAATTATTATTTTTTTTCTTTTTTCTTCTTTTTTTTCTTGAATGAAGTTTCACGCCGCTAGAAAAACTTCAATATACATACAACATATCAGACGTGAAATATTTTTATCTTTTTTCCTTAAGAAAAACTAGAGAAAGTAAGTTGATTGTTTTAAACATATTACAAACCATCAAGCACGTCGTCACTCTTTTGAACTGAGCAAAAAAAAAAAAAGATCAAAAAGCATAAATTAATTGAAGATTCATTGCACACTAGGGAGCAGATGAGTCTAAGAAAATCAAGTGTGGTTAGATTGTATCAGTCAAACTTATACTATTGTTTCATCCATAAGCTCATAGTGATAAAAAAATAGTCTTGATTATTCATTTTCTAATATAGATTTAATATTTTCAATCATTATTTTAACTCACCATTGCTCGTCATCATGCATTGAAAAATAGCTGATCATAGAGCGGCACCATCATGGATAATCTCGTTTGTCTACAAAAAAAAAAAAAAAGAATAAAAATGAAATGATGATGTGAAAACAGCAAGCGTTGATCATATATATATTAACAAAAATAAAATTAATGTATATTTCTTTTCCGAAAGTTTATTGTGGTATTTTGTACCACCTAGCGTGTAGTGCATCTCTAATTTTAAGATTTTTTTTTTTTAACGCAAGAATAAAAAATTTTATTTTCCTACATTTCTTAATGAACGAAATAAAGTAAAATAAAAATGAAAATTTAAAAAAAAAAAAAATAGAAGAAATTATATTCAATAACATCGAACATGCTGTGCTTCATTATACGTTAACGCACGAACATAAATATATATACTTATCGTACAAGAAGAAGAAGAAAAAAAAAACAAAAAGAGATTTTTTTTTATCCACATGTATTTAATTATTATTAAGAATGAATTTAGAAATTATTATAACAAAAACGATCTAAACACACAGCTAAGAAATTCTATAGAAAGTATATAAAAATCGATGATACCTGGACAGAGCGACTAAGAAAAATAATATTGTATTATTATATTAGCTTATATCTATCTATATTAGCTCTATAATTTAGCTTTCAATATCAAAAATTTAAAAATAATCAATTCTTAAATTGATTTAATAATTTTGAATGTTCATATACTATATGAAAATAAACTTAAATGAGAATAAATTCATTTTGTTATCTTAAAAAATTAAAGAGCAATCTAAGAATAGTAGCAATAACAAAAAATGAAAACATGAATCTAAAGTTTGTTATAAATTACAATTGTTGTACATGCGTATGTGTATGTGTAGCAGCATAGCGACAAATGACACGCTCTTTTCTATCATTCAACAATGTGTCAAGCTATTTGACGTAGTAATGTGTCAATTTAGTTGACGATACATTTTCCGTTTACTCGTTGATACAACAACAACAACATATTCAATATAAACAGGAAAAAAGAATAGAAATACATTTTGGATACAGTTTCATTACCATACTGATAATTCTCTATCAATAACATCGCCATACACTATAGTGCCATTGTCATTCGCTAAATGAATGATCGATCATTTATGACCAAATTAATGCTATATTGAGAAACAACGATCACCAATTTATTTCTTGCCAATACGCGTTATTTATAGAAATTTAGCAGTGACACTTTTATTAATCTTTTTGCGTAATTATATTATTAAAAGTGATTTGTCCTCATATATTTTACTATAGTTGTGATAAAAGCGGATGTTCTTGTTATTCAATGAATCTAATAAGCATTATCCTTTCAACGCAGTAAAGCAAAAATATGTTTTCTTTACGACAAAACTTAAACTTATAATATTTTAGGACTTCTAAGCATTATAACCAACTCAGAAAGTATTTATTTGATGTAAAAGAAAAGAAATAGAGTCATTTGGGAAAAAGTCGCATAAACGATAGAGATTAGCTTGGGCTGTCAGAGAAAACTCCTAGCAGATCTCCTAGATAACCGATACGATTGATATCTGCTCAATTCGTATGTACAAAAA